CGGGCCTGCCCTGCGGAAGTAGCAGAAGCAATATCCGCCTGTGTGGAGAGCTCTGCTGCGCGTCGTTCCTGGTTGTGCGGTACCGGTTACTGAAAATGTTGCCTGAAGAACGTCTTTCAGAAGTGTTCATCTTAGGGGAACAAATAAATGTTTCTCTGGCAGGGGGTCACGGTGTCCTCACTGAGCCGCCTCGGCCCTGACAAGAGTCTCCTAAAGCGAGGGTGAAAGTACCTGCCCTTAATGGCAAGTAGAGGGTAGGGGAAACATGCAGATAATCGGTGTGAGACGCGACCTCTGAAAATATCTGTTCAGTTCGAGCAAAACTGACCACAGCGTGGATGTACCCTGAGATGGCGGCTCAGAGGGGCAGGCCTCTTGGTTTCAAGCCTGTCTGCAGAGACCATAGCAGTATGTTGCTGTTGCATTAAGTGGAAATCATAATTCGTTGTGGCTCTGTGCGAAGGAAGAAACAGTGGCGTATTTCTGAGGAAACCGAAAATACAGAGCACAACCTTCCAGTGAGGTAAAGCAGTGAAGTTGGTAGGGTAAGGGCAGTGTATACTGAGAAAATTCCGTTATATTTCCTCTGTAGCTTGGGAACCCCAAAGTGTCCTACATAGTGGAAGAAAACCCCTTCGATAACAGCAACAATTCCAGTTGTTTCTGCTTAAGTTTCAGATACTCTGCGTGAGTTTCAGGTACTATATTCTTAGCAGCTTCAGCAAGTGCTTCTGGTTTGGCATTTGGTAGCTTTAAACCTTTGGAGACATGTATGCTGCAAGTCAGTCTGGCCAGATTACCACTTTAAATTTGAAAGATTCATAGTATTCTACCTGCATAATGACTTAATGGAGGCTAAGGTATTGAATCCTGTATTCATAGAGGTGCAGTTGTAATCAGCTTTATTTCTATGTCCTTAACAGCATGAAGTTAATCCTGTGCAAAAGACAGATCTTGTGCCTTACTTGTCCACTAAATGAGTTAAGTTTGATGGAATGAAGATAACTGGTGATAGCCTTTATCTACATTAATCCATTCTGGTGGTGTCACAGTGTTTCTTATCCTGTGAAGAAATCCCTGCATTATTATTTGCACTGCTCAGTGTCCACAGGTCTCAGGCAAGATGTACTTTGTACTGTAGTCTTAAATACAGTGAAAACTTCCTGTAGGTGCTTATCATCTAAGTAGGCAAGAAAGATGAAAAGTAAAGGAGAAAAAGATAGTTAGACAAATGGAAATATGTGCCATTGTACCTTCATGGTGTGTCTTCTAAATGTCATCTGTGTTTTTCCAAAGTACTCAAGTTAAAAATATACTAACATCTTTCAAGAAGAAAAAGATTAGAGAAACTAAATTATTATATTACTTGTGAGAGTGAACGTTTCACCTGCTGATGCAAATAATTAATTTCAGCTGACAGTGATGGCCCTAGTGAAGCTGTAGATAAAAACACAACCTCAGCAGATGCAGTTCTCAGTATCTTAAGGACCCCAGGGAAGGTAAGACTGGAGGGTAAAAGAAAATGAAAGAATGTGCAGCGGCAGCTCAGCTCTTCCTTTTGTGCAGAGAGTGTAGTCACAGCTCCTCTTACAAGACTTGGCAAAATTTCCATCATCCTATTTCAGCTTTTTTTTCTCCAGGCAGTAGCTAGTCCACCTACACTGGGGAATGTCAAACTGTATTAGGCTGTCATTTGATTCAGTATAAATAGCATTATATCAACAACAGGTTTGTATGCATATCTCTATAAATATGTTCCTTTATACTCATAGTGTATTAACTATCCTGTTGCCAGTTGAAGTTAAATTTCCAAACACTTTTCTTATAGATAGTCTCTCAAGTGGGGTGTTAAGACTGTGTGTGCAAAGAGCATGTTATTACAGTTGTCCTCAGAGCCACCTTTTCTGTCAAAGTCATAATCCATATCAAAAGTCTATATGTGGTACTTCATTGAGTGTAACCTCAAGATGAATCTCCCACAAAAGAAAAAGGAAAGGATGGTATGGAATGAAAAAAATAATCTTTACCTTTCTTATCATAGTTAGGTGGAGTGAACAAAAAAGGCAGCTTCTCCCTTTGTTCCCCACAGAAAAAATGAATGTTTGTGTTTTATGTCAGTTAGAACAATTCCTGTGGTTACCTTTTGATCCTATATTGATCTCACTCTGGCATCTATAGAATCTCTGCACCTGTTCCTGACTTCTAGGCAGCAGGGCTGCAAATTGCTATGGCTGCTTCTGCCAATTAAGATTTTGTCTAACCCCTGGTTATGTATGCACCTCAGTGTCACCACAGTTTGGTTACAGGAATAAAGAATATTATGACAGAGCATCTTTGTAAAGTGTCAGGGCTTCCTTTAGGCCACAGAGATTCAAGTCCTCATAACCTTTGAGTGCATCTTTACATTCACATTGGTGTATGTTTGCAGGCATGCTATTCAGTTAAGTTGATTATGAAACAGGCAAGAGTGAATTTTTTGTGTGCATGTGTTTGTAAGTTACACTTCATTCATGTTTTATGGTAGCTTTTCATGGGATTCTACAGTATCCTTTACATATCTTACCGGCTTTTGAGAGATTGATAAGTAAGGTCCTTTAAGTTTCAGGTTTCTCAAGTAGGCTGGTATTATTTAATGCTTCATGCATTTAATACCACTCTCTGATTTCAGAATTTGTCAGGACCTGCAGCAAAAAACTCTGCAAAAAAGGGGCACCTTCAGAACGAAGATGGACATCGAGAAAGCTTACAGTGCCTTTAACATCAGCAATGGAACAGATCTAGTTATTGGCTTTATCTCTTCCACAGTAGCCGTCCTTCTATTTGGGACAAACTTTGTGCCTGTTAAGAAATTTGATACTGGTGATGGTAAGCGTCTTTATATTTTTTTGTTGATTTTGGGTTTTTTTATAGTAGGATAATATTGTACCAGCAAATATGAGAGTTTCTATAGCTAGAGTTATAATCACAGCCTTGATCTATGGATCATGTTTTAATTTTTTTTACTATTGCTTGGGTATAAACCAATAACCTGTTGGCTCAAGATGTCACAAATCTTTAGAAGAGCCTTTCTATGCATTGTGCAGTTTAACTGTGATGATGTGCATTTAATGAGCATTTCACAATGGAAAGTGAAATGTCCTTTCTTCTACTCTTGTGGGGATTCTCAAATATGTACAGTGTTATTTTTACTGTGAAAGTTGTTGGACTTTGGAGTATTGTCTTTCAGTTGTGGACTGGCATAAAAACAATCAAAAATTGAAAAAAATGAAATAATGCTTTTGTCTGGTGACTCAGTAAGAGGAAACAATCACTTGTATTTCCTACTTGGAATTTTATCACTTTACCACTAGGTTCATGTTGTATTTGCATATTTGTATGAAGCATAGTCAGTTACCAGATCCCTAGATTAGTAAATCTGCCATTGTGTTACTGCAATAATAGTATCTATAGTACAAGCTGGATATAACCTCTCTCTCTTCTTTGTGCCAAACATGGTCCTAACAAGACAAGGCTAGACTTCAATGTCTTACCTCAGCTGGCATAAAGTTAACTGGTCTGCCTAGTTGACCCTCAGAGAGTCTAGAAATGTAGAAGAGTTCTGTCCAAACATCATCTGTTTATCATCTTCAATGTCCTGGATTAGTGGAAAAGCCTGAGCCCTGATCTTTGAAAGTGTTTTGTCCTGTGAGGTCATCTGTGTCAGCTGCTGCTACGGTGGTGGAAGCTTGCAGTAACTGAATATCCTCTTTGTCAGAAACCTGTTAAAATTTTCATGTGTTTGAGAATAGGGCTTGTGTAAACTTTGCCCAGCAAAAAGTGTCTTTTGCCACTTTGTATAGAGAATATATGGTAAGGAAAAGGTTGAAAGAACACCCCACCTTAAAATGCATCTTTTAAATATGTTGTAACATGATTCCCTGCAGTTCACAAAGGAGGTGAATTTCAGTTCACTATTCAATTTTTTTCTATACTGTTTTATCTAAAACATACTATGTTAAGAGATCCAGCCATGCAGTATTCTCCAAGTTCTCTATTGTGTGCATTTGATTTTTCCATAGGCATGTTCTTCCAGTGGATTCTCTGTGCCTCCATATGGATAGTTTCTTTGGTGGTCAATTTAATCCAGAATTGCCCCCAGTTTTGGCCTCTGGCTATGGTTGGAGGTTTTGTGTGGGCTACAGGTAAGAATTAAGCAATTCTATTTCTTTGAAACACAAAGTAGTCCTAATTCTTTGTAAAAAACAGTGATAAAAATGTTTCCATTTATAAGGTAGTAGTTATTTGCTAGTTGCTTGGTTTTTTTAAGCTTCGTATTAATGGAGCTTTACCCTTATAGCAAATATCATTTTATTATACTTATTTTATAAGCAGCAAATTCAAACCAAAAATAATTTTTTAATGGTATTGAGGAAAAGTCTGTGTTAAATATATTTATTTTTAAAAAACACTATTGCCTACCAACTTGCATGAATTTCTTTGCCTTCTGAACAGTCACAAAATCTAATGCAAAAATGTGCAAGATCACAGTCTAGTTTTTAATGGATTTTAATTTTGGATTTTTCTATTTCAGGCAATGTTACAGTTGTCCCTATTGTTAAAACTATTGGTTTAGCCCTTGGTCTTTTGATATGGGCTTCTTTTAATTTGCTGACAGGTTGGGCAAGTTCAAGGTGAGTACATTTAATTCTGAAGTCATACAGAATTAATGTTGCTAATTCTTCATTAATAACTGCAGTGCAAACACCATCACCAGTAAAGAGGATTTATCATCTATGTAAGATCTTTTTCCCTCTCAGTGGAAGGTACTCAGGTTAATTATTTTACCTTTTTGTGTTTCCTCTGTCTCAATAGGAGGAAGAATGCCCAGTGATGTTCATTAGCATAATTGAGTGAATAAACAGTGTATTTGTAGATGTACACTAGTACGCTTTTATTACTTGTATATTATTCTGCAGCATGGGCTGGTAAAATAATTTAAATTAACTTCCAGTTTTGAAGTACCCAGATTTAAAAAAATAATTGTAAATTAAATTAGTTTGAAGATTATTTTAGTAAAGTAGATGTCGCTTTTTGCAAGCCAACTGAAGCACTGATCCAATATGGCAAATATAAACTTAAGCAGCAGCATTTGCACGAATAAAGATTTCCAAGACTGGGTTGTGATTTAACTATTTGTATGCAGTCAGTGAAACTAAGTGAAACTGTTTAAATATTCCAGGTTTGGTTGGTTTGGAATTGACCCAGAGGAGGTGTCAAGACCAATTTTAAATTATATTGGAGCTGGACTTTCACTACTAAGGTAAAAATCTATTCTTATAATAAATTTGTGTCTTGTGAAATATCATATGTTTAATAACCACAGGGACAGTTTAACTAAAGGGCAAATGTATTGAAGTATTTTTTGCACATTGATTTACTGTAGAATTCATCATCTATCCATACCTAGCTGGTCAGTGTTGTATTTCAGAATAGAAACATACATGATATCCAGTGCAGTGGTGAAATGGTTATTCATAAACACAGAAATATATTTTTATGCTGGAAGGCATGTTCAAGGCAAAGCAGTGATGTACTGATTGTCTCCCCAGCCAGGTTATTCAAATGGTTCACTTCCTCCAAATTTTGTGAGAGATGAGAAACTGACTAGAAGAACCTTGGTGAGAAAAGCTCTGTGAGATTTCCAATCTGGCTCCACTCAGTCAAGGGTACAAATCCCTGCTCTTAACTGTAGAATATGCCACGGGATCCCTTCCCAGATCCTTAAGGGTCCATGAAAAGCCAGGGGCTTTGCGTTATGCCTTGTCCTTGATAGCTCCCTGTCTTGTAACTCTTAAGCCATGCTTACACCACCTCCCAAACAGTGGCTTTGTTTGGGGTCTTCAGGAGTTTTGCTCATATTTTTTGTTTATTATTTGTCTGCGTGCACATTTTGGTCCAAACACAGAGGAAAGTGGGTCTTTGTTATGAAGCAGTGTTCTTGCTTTTCAACTGGGTGGCCAGAAAGGTCCTTTTAGTAACATAATGGTGGCTTGTTATAAGCATGCTAAGCAGCAGATGCACGTAATGCCTTTAGGAAAGAAGGGTGTTAAGAACATGGAGACGATGGAGCCATTCTTCATTGCTGGGAGAGAGCTGCTGCCTTAGATTAATAAATTTTGCTTCAACTCTTCCGCTTTCCTAGGAGCCTGCAGCTTTTTACTCATTACTGCTACATATAGCACGTGATTTTGTGAGGTACTCACAAAATAGTAGCAGTACTGCTGTTCCTGCCTGATAAGTTCATTCAGCTCACCGCCTGCTTCCTGGTTGTGTCTGAGATACCATAGAGAAGTGATCAACAGGGAAAAAGATCGTGACCAAACATTTTCCTGGCAAGATACATAAAACCTGTGTATGTTGCTCTGCAGAGCTCAGAAGCATGTATTTCATTATAGCCTCCTGTGTGGAACCTGGGCATGTTTGCCTAGTCCTTCTGGAGGAAGCTGACATCCTTTTATATCTATCCCCTTACTCCTTCAGCAGGCGATGAATCACTTTTCAAATGGAGGCATTCTGTTTACAGCTATGAGAAGGAATTCCTAAATCATTAAAATATCTGGCATAAAAATAAAGGCAGATCCTGCCAGTTCTGATTACACATATTTACCTGATTTACTGGAGCTGGGAGTACAAACAGTAACATTACCCTTTCTTCTTCATTTTATTCACTTAGTGCACTGGAGCACCACTGAGCAATACCCCTTCTCCTTCCACATACACAAGGCCCTGTAGGAGCAGTATTCCACCACTCACCTATGATAGAAGACTGAAAACTAATGTTTTTCCTTGAGCACAGAGCCAATTCTGTCTAAGTTTAAGTTGTTCCATGTAGAATTTTCATGCAGATGTTCCATTATGTGTGTGGTTTAGTACAAAAGGGAACCGTTAACTAAAGCAACTCTTGTTAGCATGTGATTGTAACTGCACACTGTAAAAAGGACTCATTTCAATCCTGTTACATAGCAGAGGGGCCTATAAAGTGATATAAAGACTAATTTATTTGCTTAAGTTGTTTGTTAGGACTGTTAAAAGCATTTTTTTAAAATTGCTTTTAAAATTGCTTTTTTAAAATATATTGAAGTGAATTGCATTTTTAAAATATATTGAAGTGACTCTGGGGTAATAATGAAAAAAAGAGTAACATGACTCCAAATATAACTTTTGTCTCTGGAAACTCAATGTTATGTCCTTGTGAGCTGACATGGTATTTATTGGTGTATTTTTCTCTTCTGAGTGCTGTCATATTTCTTTTTATAAAAACTGAAGTCCAGAGTTCTTCAGCTTCATTAGAAAGCACGCCTTTATTGAGAGAAAGTGTAAGTACTCTACAGCTGTTATTTTACAGCAGTGAAAATACGTATCCATTTAAAAAAAATATTTAATGTTAACTGCATTTGCTGGAATTTGTGATAGGCTATGTAAGACTACATAAATGTGCACTGGTTGTATTTCATGTGTGGATCTAGTATATCCTGTCGGAAGTTTTCACAAGTGTCTTTCTCTGTTTTCAGCTTTAAATGGCTTAGAAGTCCTTTTTCATCATGACAGAGGTTATATAAAAGACAGAGTGTATTACTTTCCTGTCTGAGAAGAGAAAGCAACTTTAATTAAAACTGAACTATAAAACTAGGAGGGTGCTTACATGAAAGGCAACGGGGTGTGTAACTCTTACCCACCACGTTTTTGCCACGTTACAGAGCCAAAAGACTGTCGAGAGTCAGCGATTCTCAGGATCAGCTGTGGCACAGAGGCCAAGGAGGGATGCCAGGTTGGCTGTCGCTCCTTCGTGAGCCCAAAGTATGCAACAGAAGGTGGAGAACAGTAGGCTCCTACTACCATTGTACTTTAGCTGTTGCAGGTCAGTGATACATCAAAACTCAGTTGCTACCTGAACAGAGAGCCCCACAGAGTTTTCTAGCTGTGCTCAATGCTCACTAGAGGTTCCAATCTACGAGAGCAAATCACAGAAAACAATCTAATTGCAGGATTAGAATAAACTGATGTTTCAATTTGTTTATGCTGCAGACAGGGGTGTCAATTTCCCTGTATGCAAGTAGTCCTGTTATTCTGATAGTAACATCAGAGCTGTCAACAGAAGGCAAAAACATATAAATAAAATCTATAGATTAAATATTTCATCAAATTTAAGGATGAGTTTTGAAAGTCGTATCTCCCTGCATGCAAATTAAGAAAAAAATGCTAGTGAGTGCTCTATTATGTTGTAATCCCAAAATCCATATCCAAACTCGGACTTGTAAACTTTGAGGTAGGTAGATCCAATTATTAGTTTGTTTTATTATAAAAAAAATAAATCTCCTTTCTTCAGAGTATTTCTGTGAATTCTTTTTGTTTCTCCTTCCATTTTAATTTTATTTTCTTAGAGCAAAACTGTTCAGTTTAATACAATGTTTGGGATTGTAAAAAACCAAACGAAACTAAATTTGAGTGAAAACTCTTGGGTTTTTTGCAGTCTATTAATGTTTCTGAAGATACCTCTGATGACTCATGGGTGAGCAGACTTTCTCCAGCAAAAAAGAGACTCATGTAAGTTACTGACAGTTCTTTTGCTGGTGCAGGCCAAGTAGCCAGAGAAAGGAGTTGAATGCAGCGTAAGAGCAGAATTCATGTCCTGTGGTTTTTCTGGCACAGTCATGCACGAATAAATAACAGTTTTTAAAGTACGAGCATAGTGTGCATATCTATATATGAATAGCTGCTCAAATAATTAGATTTTTTACTTCACACTGTTCAGTGTGCTTTATGGTGCCAATTAAGTATTAGTACTACAAAAAAATTTTGCAAAGTAAATAGGAATAGCAACGAAGTAATTACAGAGCTTTTTTTTTATCACCTGGTTGATTAGCACTCAAGCATAGGAGGAGCCTATGCTAATAACATGCTTCCAGGTGTGGTTTCCAAGTGAATACATCTGGAGAAGGCACAGCAGTATGGTAAGAAGACAGCAGAAGTGCTCCAAGGTGGAAGCAGCAGCTAGCAAAGGGCCAGTGTGGAGAGTGGAGACAACGAAGGACCCAGTGATCTGGAGGCAGAGACAGGGAGTAAAGAGACAATGAACCTAGGAATGGTTAGAATATATAGGCTGCAGCAGTAAAGTTGAGGGTGGGAGCATTTTAACAATATTTTTGTTGCTCTTCTCCTACCTCTGCTTTTAGGAGATCCTAGTTAGTTGATTTCTCTTGTCATTTATGCAAACTGCAGGCTCTTGGGGCAGGAGTTGTCTGTGTTACTTGGCCACAAAGTACAGGAAAAGTAATTTACTGTGTTGAACCATTTCTACACTAGAAAATAAAAATGTGCTAAAATACATTATTTTTATAGTGTTGCCAGTGATTTTCATATGATATACAGTCTTAACTGCAACACTGGACTTAAGTGTATTGTCTACTTCCCTAATTAACGTTAGGCTATTTTCTCTGATTTTGCTCTTTTTGAAGAGGATGTAGCCTGGCTGTAGTAGCTGGAATACTATACGGTTCCAGTTTTGTACCAGTACTTTACATCAAGGACCATGGAAGAAGAAATGAAACTATGTACACAGGAGCAAGTCAATTTGGTAAAGGCTAATAGGTCACTTCAGCTTTATTTCATCACTATATTGTGGTCTCCTCCTTTCATAAAGGCATAGTCTGAAATTTTTGGTATGTCTGGAAATATACTGTGACAACTTATTGGTTCCACACTGTGTTATATTTTGTCAAATACTAGTACTCCCTTTTTCCCAGATGTGAATTACACCATTAAAAGAACAGTGAGAAACAGGCTGGGGGATACCATACTTAACTCATAGTGTTTAGTGCCTTCTGAAACATAGCTATCACTCTCAAAATGCAGGGTTTATATGCCTAGAACATGAGGTAAACAAGGGCAAAAGCTGTAGCAATTGCCTAATTAGTACACTAGTAAAGGAAGAGGAAAAGCTTAATCATAATCGATGAGCAGAAGAAATATATAGCAACATAAGTAATTAAAACCTGGTAGGTTTTGAAATTGAAACCTTTTAGCATAAGCCTAGTCACCAATTTCCAACAGCATTTACCCAGAAACATTTTCCTGAAGATTTAGTGTGTAGTCTATGAGGTAATACCAGCAGCAACTTAAGAGCAAGATATTGGTGACACCGCATAATATTCCCATTAAGAAATTGTTTGTTATGTCACATACAATTTCTCTTGAATACTGCAACTTACCTAGACAAAACAGATGTTATCATTACTATAGCTGCCTTTCACTGTTGAGGATTTACAGCTCCAAGGAGACAGAGATCACCTTGCTCTGCGCTTCTGCTTTGCCATGTTGGAAATGCTGTCTTTAGGGCTTACCATGTCCATAAAGGATTTATTACTTTTAATGATTATAGTGATCAAAATTGTGATACATTCTTCGAGATAAAAAAGTGACAAAACTGTTCCATGTTTAGCTTACACAGTATATGCAGTTGTCTTGCCTTTAAATGTACAGAAAAGAAACAAGGCTATATACAGGAACAAAAATGTAGATGATCAGGAGATAATGTAATTATGTAAAATCCCCACCCCAGTTTTGTAGCCTCACCTGAGGATTTTCTGAAGTTTTTAATAAGTTAGTTCAGTAGTTTGGCTAATAGAGGTCCGAAAATGTCTCTCAGAAATGCATAAAAGCTTGTCATAAATGCAACACAGCAGTTAATTCATGTTTAATATATGTGTGTTTGACCAAATCTATCCACAGTCAAGACTGGCAGCTGTGTTTATCACAGTCACAATTGAATTTGAGTTGTTAGCAGTAGCACCTTACGTGTTTTTGTCTGTGTGAATGCCATCAGTGAAAAAATTTATTTAAAATTAGTAACTGATGTTTTAGACTAATATAATTTTGTAATTCGTCTTTCAGATTTAGATTATGTATTTGCACACTTCAGTGGAATATTTCTTACAAGTACTGTCTACTTTTTGATCTACTGTGCAGTCAAGAAAAATAAACCTAAGGTTTATCCCCAAGCCATATTGCCAGGTATGACTCTCTTTTAAATTACCAGTTGATTTCAGTTACTTCTTCTGACCATTTTGCAGTAATTAGTTCAAGCTATGTTTCTTTCAAGTCTCTTCATTTGATTTTTTTGCCTCTTTTAAAAGATCACTCCTTGTAGATAATTAATTTAGGTTAGGAAACAACAATTTTTGTTGTAATCTGAAATTAGAACAAAATGACATTGCATGTAGCGGATTTTCAAAAACTGACTCTGCCAGAGTGGAGAGCACATTGCCCAGAAAATTGTGAACTTTAAAATTTGCTACTTTAGTTGGAGTATCTGATTTTATCCCTTGAGCTTTGGTTTAAATAATCGGAGCCAGCTTGTTAAACTAGTGAATGTACTAAATTACATACATGCAGTTTCTGTATTATGCTATAAATATAAATGTTCCACAAATTGCTGTCTATACCTTGCTGTACCCATTTTTGATTGGGATTTATTTTTCTAGGGTTCGTTTCTGGTGTGCTTTGGGCCATAGCCAATTGCTGCTGGTTCTTAGCCAATCACTATCTCAGTGCTGTGGTCAGCTTTCCAATAATTACTGCAGTAAGTATATAAAAAAATAAAATCTATGACTAGAATTAAAAGTGAAGGGTTTTTTTCCCCCCCATTTGTGGAATTAAGTTGAAATGATGATGTGTCTAGAGCATTTTAATAAAGAGAATACATTGCCTCTTCTGCTTGTCTGTGCTAGCCTTTGGTTTTTGAAGAACACACATGACTGTGGCAAGCATGATCTTGGTCAATGCCAAGTGTAAAAAAACAGAAGAACTGAAAGTTTGAGTCTTTAGGTTATACAAAAGCCAAAGCTCTGTAACCAGAACCATATCAATATTAAATAGTAAACTGAAGTGATTAAAAGAAGAAATGTATTATGCTTTCATCCCAGCAAGTACATTTTGTTCTGGATGTTTTTATTTGTGATTTTTATGCTCTAGCAGTCATTTTGCTTAATTAAGTAAGGTATTTTTTCTTTTTACAGTTCTTTAACACACAGAACAGATTATATATACTGCTGAAAATAGTATCCTTATGCAAGTGAGGGAAAAATAAGTTGACCCGTTTTGTCTGTTTTATTCCTATTTATGGTACTGTACCTTTTAAAGCAGTGTTAATTTCCAGAAGCTGCATAAATTCCAATAGTAGGTAGAATAAACTTTGCCTTTAGTCTCTTGCCAGTCTACTAGATGGTGCTGCGAAAGTGGATAACTCCTGGCACATGAGAGTTCATAAATATCTAAAGCAAAGTTTTGCTGAACAGCTGTATTTTGGAAGCAAACTAATGAAATGACATTAATAGGGATTAAGCTTTGCCTCAAGATGCAGTAAATCAGAATAAACTCTGCAGTAAGCAATGAAAGAAAAGACTTGGGATCATTCTAATTAGAAATTGAAGGATTAATGGAAAGCAGCTTTAGTAACTTTGTTATCACTATGCCTAAAGGGCAAGGAAATAAAATCATGAAGTGAAAAATTTAAGGACAGCACTGATGAGAAACTGTCTATCTGGACCAGTTTGCAACTGCTGTTTTACCTCATCCTAGAGAGAATTTCATCACATCACTTTAACAATTTATTTAATTTTTAAAATGCATTCCCCCCACAGCTCACGTTAATCTAGAAAGTGAAATAACACCTTAGCTATTATTCAAATAACAGTTGGCAATTTCACTAGGAACAGCACCCACAAATACATTGAGCCTGAGACACTGTTTCCTGCTGGCCTAAATCTGTGTCCTGTCAGCTGTACAGAAGATGGCAAGAGGGAGATCACTGTCCAAGCATCTGTCAAGTGTTTCTGAGAGCAGCTCTAATGGGGAACATTAACAGGGCCAGTTTTTGCTTCATATTCAGATAATATTTGCTCATCAGTCATAAAAATTCAGATCTTTGCTCCCACAGGGCAAAAACTATATTGCCAGGAGTGCCTGGAAATTATCATTGTGTATCACTGTTTGCTGTTAGCTAGGAAATCTGTACGACAACATCACAGAAAATCAGGAGTTTTCCTGACCTATCTGGCTGGCTTTGTGCTTTGTCCAGATGCCTGCTATACAGGAAATACATTTGTGTTCCAGTCTCTTGATATCATACTGAGTGATAAAATAAAACTTTATCCAACTAGTTAGTCATGCTAATAAAGGAAATGTTTGGAATCTCTGTGGTAGCTGCCAGTAAACCTGAATAGTCCCCTGAAATGTGGTAACTTTGTGGACTGTAGTTTGGACTAAAGTGAGGCATACTATTTGGAGTCTACTAAAAGAACTTTTAACAGCCAGTGCATACTCCACAGTATAATTTAAAAATAAATTGTGCCTTCTCTGGAAAAACAGTCTCTTGCCTCTTTAGCCCTTCTTGAAGATTTTATTGTGTCTGGCTTCATAAAGATTTCAGTGATGAAATCGTCTGTCATGGGTGCTGTAATTATACAGAATGGAAAAGCCTAAATTTGTTATCCAGACAAAATTCAACCACCCTGAGAACAGTAATGAGAAGGCAGCACATTTTAATGAAATGCTGTAATGTACAAATGAATCTTACTTTTTTAGGGTCCTGGCCTCGTTGCTGCAATGTGGGGAGTCCTTGTTTTTAAAGAAATCAAGGTAAGCTTATGAGGTCTCTAGACTCTCTTGCTTGTTCGTAGCTCTAGGAACAGCATGACTTGGCATACAGCTGTATGTCTTAGATTCCAGCTCCTTTCAAGTATTGCATTATGAATCTGAAAGTTATATCATGCAATACTGAGTTTTCCAGGAAAGATGAAGAACTGTGAACAATTTTTACAGGAATGAAGATTTGAATTCTGTAAGTGTATGTGCAGCACTGGGAGTAAATGAAGACCGTAGCAGGGCCAGGAGGCAGGGTGCCAAGCACAGCCTGAAAACAGGCTTTATGTGAGCCAGTTTTTTTAGTGGGGGTAGGGGAATGAGCAGTTGACCTAACAGTCATGTAGACAAGTAGATGAGACACTTAGGATCAAATTTGCTAAAGGACCAGAAAAAGAGACAGAAGTTAATTGACCTTTCTCATTGCAGTATAATATAGAGTTTCCTAAACTGATAACGGCAGTGATTGCCTAGAAGAGGCTGATTACTGGATGTTAACATATATGGCAGAAATTATTTTTCTAGTGGAATTTGAAGCAGTGAATGCTAGCAGTGTAATGAGGTTCCTTTAATTAATCTGTCCAGGATCCATAGAGACGTAATCTGCCAGGATCCATAGAGATGTAATCTGCCATCAGAGATAATTTTCCTCAGTATTTTTGGTGACTGGGAAAAATGTGTTAGGCATCCTTGGATCAGAAACTAGAAGCTTTCTGTCTCTCCCACTGCAGATAACTGTTGCACAAAACTAAAACACCATCATGTTCATTGTCCAAACCTTTGTGACTCACAAAATCTTTCATCCTTTTCACATATTTTAGAATAGTCTTTGCATCAGTGCTTACTGCTTAAAAATAATCTGAAAATAGACGAAGTCCTTTAAAAATAATTTTTAAAATTGTTAAATTAATTTTGTGAAAATTTTACGAAGTGTATGACATCATTGATTACTTGTATTAAACTGTTTTGAACAGCACATATGTTACATTATATGAAATAAAATGGTATAAAATTTACCATTTCACATAATGGATTTATTAATTTTGTCATAAAATGAAACCCTAGTTCTTTATTTTATTTCTTTTTTGTGGAGTGTTATGACAATATGGTATTTTTCTTTTTCTCTCCCTTTGCCTATCCAGGGACTGAAAAACTACATGTTACTCTCAGTAGCGTTTTGCATCATTTTGGCTGGATCACTCTCCACGGCTTTTTCTAAAGCTTAAAAGGATCTTCTGGACCAGTAGATGGTGCTACTGTTTAATATAATCAAAAAGACAGTATTGGTATATCACAATACATAATAATTTTTTAAATGGATGTCCAGCATTTACCCTAACTTGCTTCAGGCAAGTGAAAGAGAAAACCTTTGCTAAATATTCCAGTTTGGCATGAAGGAAAATCTGGAAATGTTTGATTCTGTAAGAATATCAAAGGATTTTATTAAATAAAGCTAAATGATTTTGTCGTTACTAACTTTTTTTTTCTGGTTCAGGTATTGAACTTCATGTCATCATGCATTGCAGTTCACTGTTGTGGTGGTGGATAATGGGGTTTTAATTCTTAGTCTGTAATACTGTGTGCATTTGTAAGCTGATTTATTTTATTACAACATTCTGTCTTACTGACTTGAACCTAAAACATGTTTTGGAATATTCTGCACGGAACTGATACACATGAAGATGTGAAGCATTTTTTTTTAAGAGGCATTCTTTAAATTCATCAGTTTACATAAAAACTTTTTTTTCCAATCACTTCATAATTTTGAAGGGGGAAAAAAGTACTGTATAATAAATTACTTCTGTTTGCTGATAAACTGTTTAGTTGCAAGAACATTATGTAGAAATCATGACCAGGATACGAATAGTTGGAGAAGATTAGTTTTTTATTTCAGTTGTATGGAACTTTGCAAGTAAACATTGCATTTCTGTAACTTGTGGTGTTGCAATATGAGCTAAGTATGTGGTTCAAAGTTTGTTTCCAAATACCTTTGGACATTTTCTGAATACTTTTCTATGTAGCATATTCAAATCTTTAAAATTATGTTTGGCAATACTTATTACACTGAAGCATCATGCTAAAACTACCCAAAGCAAAGTCATCTATATGTAAATCACTTCTGACAGTTGTTGTCTTAACTTGTTTCTTTAAAAACAAATAAATAAAAGAAGTGGCTTTCGCAACATTTTTAGGCAAACTAACCAGCTTCTAACTATCTGTCCAGCTAGAAAGCCTTAATAGCCAAAGGAAATTCCCTGTGCGGGATGTTAAGTCCACTGTTCCATGGCCAGCACTAAGGTGGAGAACTGTTTATTTTCTTACTCATGGGAAGTAACCTTTATATATGCAAAGTATGTTGTCTGAACCTCCCTTTAGGCTTTTCTTCAGTATATTAGACAACCCGAGATCCTGCTTTCTTCCCTTGTTTGTAATGTGCTCGTCATTTTTCTTGCTCTTTCCTGAAATCTTGCTAAGTGGACTAGATCTGTCTAGAAAATCTAGACATGATGGTCAGACTACAGTCTTGCAAGAAGAGCAGCAGCAGGATTTTTTTTTTTTTACCCAGTTTGCGATGTGTTCGTGGTTACACATTGTAGTATGACACTTTTTGCCATCATGGCTTAATATTGTTAATGTGTTCATATTGCAATCATAATTTCTCCTTTCTCCCTTCCCCTCGCCTTTGTCTATTATTTATCAGATTTGCTCTAGAACTGTTACTTAGCCTGGTTTTTCTCATCCCATGTTGTTTATTCCTAGCCAAGTGTCAGAACTTGGTGTCCCTCAGGTTTTTTCCCCCTTAAGGCATTTCTCTACTTTTGCTCTGTATGTTAACCCTGGCCTCCAACAGGTTGGCAGCATTTTCCGGCAAGATGTCATCTTCAAATTTAATAACCAGCTATTGTAAATAATTTTTGAAAATGCTGCATGATACTGGCCTTTACTTACTTTTTAGAATCTAATGCAATATTTCTTTTCACTCTGGCATTGAACAGTTGATTACTCTTTTGAGTACAGTTTCCTCTGTCTGAAAATGGTTTTGTTTAGACTGCATGCTCATAGCTTTTATGTAACATCTGATACAGTTGTTCAAGTCAACATACATGATGTGTACCACCCTGAGACCTGATGCTGGAAGGAATACAGGTCAGTTTTCTTTCCCAGTGTCCGAGTCAGACGCGATTTCTTCGTGACAGATCCTTGACTGTTAGTTACCTAGCCATTATTCTGTTGGACAAGGGGGGGTAATTTGTTCACATGGTTTTGAAATAACTTGAGTTAAATTGGACATTTGTAATCCCTGGATCTGTTTCCCTCCTTCTTGAAGATCACAAGAACTGCTGTATTCCTGGAATATACCCCATGCCAGAAAATTGCTGATAATAAAGAATTGGCAAAACCAAAATATGGTCTTCTCAGGCTCCTCTGTTTTACAGATACACCTTAATAAATCAGTACTTTCCCAGTCAGTTTTTATTCCTATGTCACTGTTTACAGTTGCATTAATACTGACTGTAAGCTGTTTAAGTAGACTGAAGGAACGGGGGTGCTGGGCACTTTAGTTTATAATGTCATTGCCAAATAGTGGCAGATTATCTCTGATTTCCACGCAGTTACTGACAAAAATATTAGTCTTGTAACTCACTGCTTTGCTAAAATAATTACAATGTAATACAGTATTTGTAAAGATAGTGTGATTACAGCATCAGTCCACTTTGATGTACCGATGCGATTGCTCAGGAAGGATCATCTGTTTAAGTTTACTACTACCTGTAGGTCACTTTCCACATTTGGTTAAAGTCTGCAAGTACAGTCTACACTGCTCAGTCAGGTATACTCTTCACTAGTTTATGTTAAGTGAATTACTAGTGCCTCAGTCTGGAAAAACAGTTGGAGAGCATTCAACCAGAATTCGTGGGGAGGAGAACCGTGTCTGCGTGGGCTTGAACAGTGACCTAACCTGTTCACACTACTGCTTCCAGGGTAGAACTAGCTTGTAAGGACCGTGTAAGACCTCTTTTGCCCAACAGGTCTCTCAGGCCTCAGGGATCCCTAGAGCACATTCAAGGGAGAACAGGAGCAAGCAGAAACAAAGGTTTCTTGCTTGCATCAAGAGATGCAAGAATGCATGGCATGATTGGAAACAGAGCTAAACATCAGAAAACCAAAGATGCCATTTTAACAGAGTAAAACTTTGTGAGGAAAAAGGAATGGGAGCAGACAAAGCTGTGGGAAGATGTTACAAGGTTAGGTGTATTGCAAAGCAGAAACAGAGTGTGGTGTTTCCTAGTCATCTTCAACAGCTGGGCAAGCCGCAGTGCTCCCCGAAGAGTCAGCGCAGAGGGGCTGTACCAGCTGTGCTGGGTAATCTGCATCCTCAGCTGTGTGAATGAACAAGCGGGATTGCTCCAGCCAAATTACTGAGGCACCTAGTTTATCCCTAACGTTAGGCAGCTGTTTCCCATCATACGCTATGGTAAAGTGCCGTCGGCCTTATCTGCTCCTGCAGTACCGTGAAGCCTTGGTTTGTGCTGTGGGTATTCTGAGTGGATGTCTCCTGGGTTTTTCAGGTTTTTAGCCTGTAGCTTATAGTGACAGGACAAGCTGGCTACTAGTGCTGGAGTGGAAATGTTATGACAGGTTAGCAAGCAGTAGAAAAATTTGTCCTGGCAGTGCCCAGTTTTGCTTGCCTCGGTTCAGATTCTGTTTTGCTCTCTGCATTTATTTGTTGTGGTTTAAGATAAATCTGAAAATGGACAATGAGGCTGAATCTGCTACATCCATCCCTTCTTAGAGGAGTGGCTCTGGCTTGTGCTGGTTGTGCAAAAAAAAAGGAAGCTGGTTTATACCCTGGCAATTGAGATGCATTTAAGTTTAGGTTTTAGGTTTAAACTGTCACCATATGCTTCAGTTTGCTTTAACTGAAGAGTCTTTTCTAATGTTCTCTTGGGTTTCTACTCTCTCTCTTGAGGGTTGCTCTTAAGTTAATGTCTGGTATGGGCCCAGCATCCATCTGCTGGATGTGATTACAGGGAACAGCTGAATCTTCCAGGGCATTCCTTCACATTTCCCAGTTCATGTACAAGGTCATCGGCTTTCTGAAACAAAACAAAAAACTGAACTCCTTACTGTAGCAGCTACCATGTCTGTGGTTTGATGCAGTTCGCCCGTCTGTGTTGTAAAGCTATCAGATGTGCAAACTGAATTGCTGACTTCTAGGGCATTAATGAAAATTCTTGTTTGTGAAGGCTCAAGTATGGCCTGTATTAAATGCTTCCTTACCAGCTAACCTATTGGATTTCTCTTGCCAACAGCAAAAAAACCCACCTCTTGCAGTTCTTTTCTGTGAAAAATCCCTTGTGGTAATTCATCAGGATTTATGGTTTAAATATGTATTTATTCCAGAATCTTTTCTTATGATGTTCACTTGGAATATATTGGATAAATATTCTATTCATTTCTGAGATTTTCTTGTTCTTGAAGTTTTGAGTTTGAAGTAACACTGGTACGTCTTTCATGTTAAAATGCTGGATTAGCAGATATCTGTTTATAGAGCTGTTTATACAAAAGAGTCTGGCAGCAACTGAGTTTAATAAGAGTAAATTCTACAGCTAATATAAATTATCATGGCTCTGTTTATATCAGCACGTTTTTATATCAGTGTAAGAACTGTCCCAGAACTTTTCTAATATTTTTTTTTTTTTGGGG